TCTGGAGCCAAGCTGATCTGAAGCCAGGAGCCAGAAGTTTCCTCCAGGCCTCTCAAGCAGTGCAGGTACCCAAGGACTTTGGGTCATCATCTACTGGTTTCCTAGGCCGTAACAGAGAACTGGATCAGAAGTGGAGCAGCCAGGACTTGAACCAGTGCCCATATGAGATGTCGATACCGCAGGCAGCAGCACTTTACAGTGCCAGCCCCCAGACAGAAACGTCACTTCTTGTGGGGTGTTTTTTTTTTTTTTTTTTTTTTTTTTGACAGGAGAGTAGACAGTGAGAGAGAGACAGAGAGAAAGGTCTTCCTTTTCCATTGGTTCACCCTCCAATGGCCGCTGTGGCTGGCGCGCTGCAGCTGGCGCACCGTGCTGATCCAAAACCAGGAGCCAGGTGCTTCTCCTGGTCTCCCATGTGGGTGCAGAGCCCAAGGACTTGGGCCATCCTCCACTGTACTCCCGGGCCACAGCAGAGAGCTGGCCTGGAAGAGGGGCAACCGGGACAGAATCCGGCGCCCCGACCAGGACTAGAACCCTGTGTGCCGGTGCCACAAGCGGAGGATTAGCCTATTGAGCTGCAGCGCCAGCCATCTTTCTTTCTTTTCTTTTTTTTTTTTTAAGATTTATTTATTTATTTGAAAGTCAGAGTTACGCAGAGGAGAGAGGCAGAGAGAGAGAGAGAGAGAGAGAGAGAAAGAGAGGTCTTCCATCCTCTGCTTCACTCCCCACTATTGGCCACAATGGCCAGGAGCCAGGAGCTTCTTCTGGGCCTCCCACATGGGTGCAGGGACCCAAGGACTTGGGCCATCTTCTACTGATTTCCCAGGCCACAGCAGAGAGCTGGATAGGAAGTGGAGCAGCCGGAACTAGAACCAGTGCCCATATGGGATGCTGGCGCTTCAGGCCAGAGCGTTAATTCACCACAGCACCAGCCCCAATTTTCTTCTCAAAATAAGTTACAATACTATATGCATTGTTTTGTACTGTTTGCTTCACATGACATGGTTTGAAAGCTTTTTATAGTAAAAATATGCTTACAATGAGTATGCTTACATAGTATTCCATTCCATGAAGAATATATAAACTGACTTCAAGCCACTCCTGGATTTGTAGATAAATTCTTACTGTATTTACAAATACTGAGAATGTTTATAAGAAATTATATATGAAAGATATGTACATTTTTCTGGTGAGGGAGTCCATATTGCTTCACAGCTCATCCAAAGGTTCTATAATTAAAATAAACAAGAGTTGATTTAGTGTGGAAGATACAGAGTGATTTATGTAACTCATTGCTTCATGAGAACCTTGTTTCTTTCCAGTTTGCGCTATTACAAACAGTGCTACAAGTAAATTTAGGATTTTCAGCTTTGATGTTCAGAAAAACATGGAAGGCACAAAGTGCTATGATATCATTGAGTGCCCTGTCAGGAGATGACTGGGTCCAGGTTCTTTTCTCCAACCCAAGAAAGAATTCAAGGATGAGACTGAAGTAAAGGCTAGTAGAGGAGTAGGATATATTATCAGCAAAACAAAAGTATGCACTTCAAAGGGAGCGCAAGCATTCTTGAGAGTGAGCTGTGGAGGTTCAGGATTATCCCTTTTGTATGATCTCAAGAGAGCGGGAATAGAATAGTCACAGGAGGTGGGTTTTGGGGTGAGGTTTCCCAGGAATACATGGAGCATTTGAGGAATTAGAGTATCATCCATTTTCTTGCCTTTTTAGGAAGTCTCAGAAGTGTCATGGTGTCAAGTCCATGATGAGAGTGAAAATGACATCCATGGTAATTTTATTACACTGTGATTATAATTCGCTATAGGTCCCTGTGAGGACATGGTCAGCAGCCGTGTTGGGCATTTTCAGCCAGAACGGGTTCTGGGAAGTGGTTTTTGGGGCAATAGTGGTTTGGGGTTACCTTAGTCACAACACAAAAGGAGGGAGTAGACATACATGGAGTAGGTGGAGTTGTAGGCAGGGACGGGTAACACATAGCACTCAGCTCCCACCTTGCCACACAGGGTACTTTAAAACATCAGACAAAAAAGGGAGGTTAAAACTTTATTTTGCTGCAAAAGCATTTTGAAATCTATGCATAGTTTTTTCATAATTGGCAATGCCCATGAACTTTTTGGAACTGCACATATGTTTAATGATGGGTGAAGCTGTTGCAGTTTAAGCATTAGCACAGAAGGTGTTCTTGAGAATCATCAGAGAAAAGATAAGAAACCCTCCTGGCACTTAAAGCCCATTAGCTCAATTAAACAAAGCCTGTCATCGGCTGCCAAATCTAAGATGCCGACAGGCAGGAGAAAAGCAGAAAGTCGAGAAAATTCATAGGAGAAAGATGGGAATGTGAAGAGGACGGAAGGGGAAACCAGTGCAGTGAAGCCCTGTTACTGATTACCTCAACCTTTCATCCTTCTTTGCTTCTAAGAAGGCCTCCTGTTGCCTGTGGGGAACAGCCCAGCCCCATTCCAGGCCCTATTGGTAGGGCTGTGGATTAACAGTATTACTGAATGGCTGACCCAAGCGAGACTAATAAACGTCCTACTCTAGAAAGCTGAATCTCCTACTGAGAACCCCTGGAAGGGCAGGCTGTTGGAGCTGAGTGGTCTAAGACTCAGCCCTAGAGCTCGTGATGCAGAGCCTCCCCCTGCCCCGCACCCACCCAAGTCCCCTGGCTCCTGCTCTTCCCCAGGTGAGACTATTCAACTCTTCCTTCTGGACTCTGAGCTACAAAATATTTTTCCAATTAATCCCTTCTTGTTTAAACTAGTGAGAGGTCATTTGAATAAGAGTCCTAACAGTCAGAACTGGACATACAAGTACAGTTAAAACACACAGCCCCTTCTTGACCTTTTGCTGATGTTGAAAATAAAACACAAACACATACACAGGAGAAATAAAATGCCAAAACACCTGACTTAAGGTCACACAGTATTGTTGATAGAGGTGAGACCAGACTCAGATCTCTCCTCAATAGAATACAAAGTTCTTTATTTTAAAAAAATATATTTTATTTATTTATTTGAGAGGTAGTGTCACAGACAGTGAGACAGAGAGAAAGATCTTCCTTCCGTTGGTTCACTCCCCAAATGGCCGCAACAGCCAGAGCTGTGCCAATCCGAAGCCAGGAGCCAGGAACTTCTTTCTGGTCTCCCACGTAGGTGCAGGGGCCCAAGACATTGGGCCATCTTGTACTGCTTTCCCAGGCCACAGCAGAGGGCTGGAATGGAAGACGAGCAGCAGGGACTAGAACCAACACCCATATGGGATGATGGTGCCAGAGGTGGAGGATTAACCTACTGCGTCACCGCGCTGGCCCCCAAGTTCTTTATTTTAAAAAAAATTTATTTCTTAATTTGAAGGCAGAGAGTTATGGGGAGAGAGGGAGATCTTCCACCTGTGAGTATTTAGCCTCGTGGTTAAGACGCTACATCCCACATTAGAGTGACTGGATTCAATTCCTGGTTCCAGCTCCTAACTCCATCTTCCTGCTAATGCAGACCCTGGAAGGCAGCGGTGACATCTCAGGTAGTTGGGTCCCTGCAACCATATGGGAATCCTGGATTGAGTTCCTGACTCTCAGCCCCAGCTCCCAACCCTAGCTGTTGCAGACATTTGGAGCACGAACCAGCAGACGGGATCTCTTTCTTTCTCACTCTCTTTGCCTCTCATGTAAATAAACACAACTTTTAAAATTTTAATGTACTTGAATATTTACAATTGTATTTTATAAAAAATGATCTGGAGTTATTTTTCTCATCCCATTTGTTAAAAATAGTTACCTCTGGCAGAAAAGAAGAAATGTGCAACTTTCAAAAAATATTTCAGCATTATTAGAATATTTTACAGTTTACATGTATAGTTTACATCTTTTCTAATTTGTAATTAGAAAAGAATTTTTAAATGCTCAAGATCCATAACCATCAAGGAAATACAAACTAAAACCATAGTGAGATATCAACTCACATCTGTTAGAACGGCAATTATCAAAAAGATGACAGATATCAAGTGCTGATAAGGATGTACAGATGAGGGAACCCTGGTATACTGTTCATCAAAATATAAATTAAGACAGCCATCTTGGAAAACAGTAGGGCAGTTTCTCAAAAGACTAAAACCAGAATTACCATATCATCCAGAAATCCTACTTATGGTTATATATCCAAAGGAATTGAAATTAGCCTGTCAAAGAGACACCTACATTGTGTTCATTTCAGCATTATTTAGAACAGTCAAGATATGGAAGCATAACTGTGGATGAATCAACGAATGAATGGACAAAGAGAACGTGGTCTTTCCACATGATGGGATACAATTCAGCTTTTAAAAAGAAGGAAATGGTTCAGGCATGGAAAGCCAAACACGGAGGCAAAAAATGACTTACATGAAAGATCTCTGTGAGTGAGATCCTGGTGGAAAGAAGGGGCCATCAAAGAAGGAGGTACCTTTCTCTGAAGGGAGGAGAGAACTTCCACTTTGACTATGACCTTGTCTAAATAAGGTCGGAGTTTATGACTCAAGAGGTTTCCATAGCCTTGGCAGCTCATGACAAGAGCCTCAGGTGATTACTGACATCATAAATAAGAGTGTCAATTGTTAAATCAACAACAGGAGTCACTGTGCATATGCTCCCCATGTAGGACCTCTGTCCTTAATGCGTTGTACTATGAAACTTACTGGTAAAACTAGGCTTCAAACAGTACTTCATACTTTGTGTGTCTGTGTGGGTGCAAACTGTTGAAATCTTTACTTAGCATAGAGTTAATCTTCTATATATAAAGATAATTAAAAAAGAATCTTAATGAAAAATGGGATGGGAGAGGGAGTAGGAGGTGGGATGGTTTGGGGGTGGAAGGGCGGGTATGGGGGTAAGAACCACTATAATACAAAAGTTGTACTTATGAAATTTATATTTATTAAATAAAAGTTTTCTATAAAAAATAAATAAATAAATAAAAGAAGGAAATGGTGTCACTTGCAGCAATGGGTAGGGACTTGAAGGACATTACAGTCAGGTGAGTAGCACTATGGCTGGGGTTGTATGACAAGAATAGAAGTCTGCTGCTGACAGCAGCGTGAGTTTGGAAGTGCCTTCTCCAGCCTGGGCTCACGTCTCGACTGCAGACTCATGAAAGACCCTGGGCCACAGTTAGCAGCTGAGCCAGTCCCAGATTTCTGAGCCTCAGAAATTGTGAGATAATCAATGTTTGCTGTTTAAATCTGTTAAGTTTTGGGGTCATTTGTTGTACAGCAATAGATAACAAATTCACCAGACAAGGTTCTCAACTGTTTTTCTTTGGAGTTTTTCTCCATATCTGCTCTTTTTTTCTGGGTTTACATGTGATTCCTCTTAACTACTCACATCTCCCCCAAGTAACACTTTCGTGGTTCAAGACACTAGACCACTGTGAATAGGAACTGCTGAATTTCAAATTCTAGGAAAAGAGAAACTGATTGGTGCTGAATGGGTCAAATGACTGACCACTCTAGTCCAGTTGATGTGGGATAAAGTCAGGTTGTATAATCCTGGCTTCCTAGGATCCAATTTTGTATACATGGAGAGAAACCATCCTCAGAGGAAGAATGTGAACATGGAGCCGGCAGATATCCCACCAGTACCCAACTCTACACGCCTGACACACTTAAGGAAGAGAAAGATAAGACGTAGCCACCTTAATCAGGAGCTGGTAGAAGAATCAGGAATGTGGAGAATTGGAGTACATCCCCATTATCTTCTAAAATAGATTAGAGCTACACCCACGTGGCTAGGTTGATTCCATGTAGAAATAGCACGAAGGATAATATTCTTACAAACAAGAGGTGACCTCAGGAGACAAAAGTGTGAAACGAAGTAAGTTACCTCGCAAACAATGAAGTTCATGGCTATGTAATTCGAGGCTCCGTGGACATCCAGGGATATTTTCAGCTCAGCATCCAGTAAATCTTTGATCCGTATGTCACTAAGGTGATAGTTCTTGCAAAGATTGATTCAAAAATAAATACGCTGTGTGTGAATTCCTTGAGACAAAACATGAACAAATGAACAAGTGTGAAGATGATTAATACTAGGCTTGGAAGGAGTTCCTTTGGGGTTTTCAGGTGCTGAAGAAGTCAAGCTCACTTTACCAGTTGGTGTCCAGAAATAGCAGGATGTTAATAGCCAGTCTCTTGAAATCTACCTCTCTGTCATGATGCAATGGAAGTGGTAAAATCTGTGTTCTCAGTAACACTTGTCTGCAAGTGGATACAGTGTCTAATGCTGAAAAGATGAACTAAGAATTAGTATTTATAACATAAAGCCTGACTCTGGTTTTCAATTGCTTTGATATTTTAATTGTGATTCAGTTAAACACACACACACACATAGAGTGACTGTGAAGGTAGTTAAGCAACACATAAAATATCCACATTTCAGAATCTATCATCAGCATGAGTCGGACACAAGGGCATATTTGGTTTAAAATATCCTTGATAATAAGGATACAAAATGAACCCTTTTCGAATACAAAGTTTTCTAGGCAGTTCACAGTGAGCTTCCTGCTACTTATGCCCTCCAGACTCCAGAGAAAGGGCTGATCACATTGATAATCAAGATTCCCTGAAAGAAAACGAAAACAAGAAAAACCTTCTGAGTCATCAGGTTGCAGCTGGAAAATATTGGACACAAGCTACAGAGTTCTATGCATTTTAAAATACTCTTTTAACTTTTAAGTTGTTCTCTTGAATTTGACTATGAAATTTCAGGGCTTCTCTGATAGTTCTCATCTTTAGAGAGCAACAGAGTCAGATTCCAAATAGAGGCACACATCTATCACAAGAGTAGTCTTTTACCATCCACAGAGAGACACCCAGTAGAGGGCATAGTACTTACCCTGCAGCAATTTCTATGCCTGGGCCTTGCTAGTCATGTGCCTTCTTGCTCTTCTTAACTCCATTCCTAAGGGAACTGCATTCTTAAGCTCTGTTGCCCTCTGGCTCTCAGGGGGATTGGTCAATGGAAGGCACTGGCGAGAGACTGAAAGGCAAGAAGGAAGACAGGACCAGAGGACTTGTTCTTTGTTCTGCTTCATTTGAAACCTCTGGCCATGGATGTTATCTCCTATGTAGCTACATTTCTGTAAGACAGCTCCTTTCTTCCTGGTCTAAGCTCCCACCTAGCAATCTATTGTGAGTCCAGCTTCCAGCAAATGGACCCAAATCCTGGACTTTGATAACTTATACCCTGCGCTCCTTCTCTCTCTCTCTCTCTCTTTCTCTCTCTCTCTCTCTCTCTCCTCCTGGGGTTGATACCAGCTTTCCAGTGTTGCTAATATGACATCCACTATTTCACCTATCAGTTCTTTCTTTGTCTGTATAACCAGCATCCTACATTAAATTCCCTCTGTTTGAAATACTTTGCATCATTGCGGTTGTCTTGCCTGAACTCTAAGTGATACAGGGACACAAACATAACATACACACATTCAAAAGCAACAGGATGAATAAATGATACAGTCCAGGTGGCAGAAGTCAGAAAGGCCCACAGATTTACCTTTCCTGCAGCTCAGATAGTCTCCATGTATGACCTTTCTTCTACACCTTAAATCTTTCAGTGCCAGTTTCTATAAATAATAGCTTTTTCCTTTTAGTATTCTCTAGTCAGATCTCTTACTGCTTTACCATTCTTTGCACAAGATGCTGAATATTATATTACTGGCTTTCCTCATTCACTTGGTCAGCCTTGCCAAGAAAGGCTTGAACATAGCAATGGTAGATGAGATTAACTGAACACTAACTGTAAAGGATCTTTAATCCATTATCTCCATTAATTCACAAAAAAATCCATAGATTATATGCTATTTTTGCCTCTGTCTAAAAGATTGTAAACTTGAGGCCTGGGAATTATATCTAGGGGCTGGCGCTGTGGCAGAGTGGGTAAAGCTGCCACCTGCAGTTTCAGCATCCCATATAGGCGCCCGTTTGAGTCCCGGCTGCTCCACTTCCAATCCAGCTCTCTGCTGTGGCCTGGGAAATCAGTAGAAGACGGCCCAAGTCGCTGGGCCCCTGTACCCACATGGGAGACCCAGAAGAAGCTCCTGGTTCCTGGTTTCAGATCGGCACAGCTCTGGCTGTTGTGGCCAGCTGGGGAGTGAACCAGGAGATGGAAGACCTCTCTTTCTGCCCCTCCTTCTCTCTCTGTGTAACTCTGACTTTCAAATAAATAAATAAATCTTTTAAAAAACAAATTAAGTCTTATGTCTCCAAACATGTTATCTACCATTTCATCTTCAATGGAGACTGAACGTCCATCCTAGAAGTGGGTGCAGGTGGCCCGGGGACTAACAGCTCTAGTAGATACTGAGGTCAGTGGCAGATACATAGGAGGAAGCAAGGCTAGGGAAGGCTTTGTGAACATGGGCCAGGAGGTGCATTTAGACATACATATGATTCTCCATTGAAGGAATGATATTCATATAATGCATAACTTTTTACTTAGTGGTATTGACTCATTTTGGATTTTGTTTAATAGGAAAGACCTTGTCTTACTTCTAGAAGGATCTGAAGACCTTCTCTTGTTTGGGATGAACATAGTATCAATACTGTCTCTTCTTGAGCACTATTATTTGAGGTCCATTTATAATTCCTATCATTAAAAAAAGCAGAGTTGCTAGATTTAGAAACTGAATAATCACACCCACCCAAAGTAAACATCATTACCACCTACTTCCACCTCCACATAAAATGTATAGAAAAACAATACTATTTATTTTTCTGGAGGCCCTAATCACAGTCCAAAACATTGCAGTGATCTTGCCTACATGTTATATTGCAAAGAGTAAATATCCAATTCTCACTCAGAGTGATGAGTAAGACTGTGCTCCTATACAAATACCTGTAAAGGTCTGGGTTTTCAAAGTTAGGACTTTTGGTGTTTTCAATGAGTTAATAAAAAGCAAAATTGGTCCTGCAATCTATAATTGTCTACCTACAGATACAAGTACGAACACACACACACACTCACACACACACACACAGACATACATTTGCTGTACAGGTGCATGCCTCATTTTGACTCACATTTTAGAAAGCAGAAAATGGGAATCTCTACCTCTACTCAGAAATGAGGATCTGTTCTGGAGAATGAAGGGTGAAATAAAGAACTCAAAAAGTACTGCCCAATTAGAGCCAGCATCTTCTTATGAGCCCCAGCTGTGAAGCCTGACAGGTGGCCAAGCACAGCAGATGCAGGAGGATGGAGTCCTTGGTTGGAAAATGGAAAAATACAGTTTCATACTTGATGTACACAAAAAAAAACACACACAGAAAAAATGGGGCTGGCATTGTGGTACAACAGGTTAAGCAGCCACTTGCGACATCAGCATCTCATATCAGCTGTATCAGTGCTGGTTCAAGTCTTAGCTACTCCCATTCCAATCCAACTCCTTGCTGGTATGCCTTGGGAAAGCAGTGGAGGATGGCCCAAGTACTTGGGCCTCTACCATTCATGTGGGAGACCTGGCTCCTGGCTTCAGCATGAGAGTCTGAGCTGTTGCAGCCATTTGGGGAGTGAACCAGTGGATGGAAGATCTCTCTCTCTAGTGCTCTGCCTTCCAAAATTTATAAATAAATCTTTGTAAAAAAAATAGTAAGGGGGGAGGAACCACAAGAAAGAAATATGTTTTCTCCCCCTTCTTGTAAACAAAGAAAAACACTTCTCAGTGTCAGGGGTTAATTTGATCATATTTGCTTTAGAATTCTAAAGCAATAATGTGCTATTTCATACCGTGAGAAGGAATTCTGAGAAATGGTAGCAGGTGCTTTCAAATTGGGTTTAGTATCAAAATTCAAGTTCATTTACTAAATTTCTAAAATGCATGCTATTGTGAATAAAATACTTCTGGACAATCTGAACATATTTCCAATGGTGTTGCCTTGGGCACATTATTTAGTTTGGTTTATAAAATGGGTATGACAGTCTTTACCTTCTAGACAGGTACATTTTCAGCCAGTATACACTGGTACCCATCAGCATGCCTCCTACTTACTGCCCTCACCACCTTTCTCATTTCTCAGAACCCACTAGACCTGGGCCTCTCAGGCAGCTAAGAAGTTGAAACTTGACCCTGCAGGAATCTGGTAGGAGATTGCTTCACTGCCAAGGCCAATAAGGGGTCCAACTGATTGGTGCTCACAGCGATTCGTTTGTAAATATTTTAACACTGCATATACAGGATGTTTGTAAAAATGAAATGGCATAGTGTAAACAGGACATGCTTAAAAATCCTCACACACTCTCTGCATGTGAAGTACTGGCCTTGAGAAAAGCCATTTTCTGTGAACCTCTAGATTTCCCACTTTTGAGACTATTTTGCTATAGGCTGTATGGTATCTGAAAATACCATATGTGTGTGACTGTGAAAGGGTGTGTGAGAGCTCTTAGGTGTGGAGTGATGTGTGAGGGAATGTGGGTGTGAGAAAGGTGTGTGGGTACAGGAAAAAGTACGATAGAGTGTGTTAAAATGTGTCTCTGTGTGTGAACATTGTCAATACAATTGTTTTTAAAGATTTGTTTATCTGAAAGAGTGACAGAGTTGGGGGCAGGGCAGAGAAAGAGAGTCTTCCGTCTGCTGGTTCATTCCCCAAATGGCCACAACAGCCAAGTCAGAGGCAGGTCAGAGGGAGGAGCCAGGCATTCCAGCAGTCTCTCACATGGCTGCCAAAGAACCAAGTACTTGGGCCATCTGCCACTATGGTCCCAGGTGTAGGGAACTGGATAGAAAGCAGAGCAGCTCAGACTCAAACCAGTGCTTCAGTATGAGACACCAGTGTCACAGGATGCTGGCTTGACCCAATGTACCACAACTGTGATACCTGTCAATACAATTTTTTACCTTCATCAATACAATTTCTAAAGACAAATTTTAAATGTATTGTTTTGCCTTCATGAAAGGCTGTAAGGTAAAATATTATTTTATTTCCTTGTGAAAATTACACTCTTCAGAGGTAAACTTTTTTTTTAAGTATTTTCCCTTACCTCTAAAGATGAGCCCATTAGAACTGCCTGGGTGAAGTAAGAATTGTAACATGGTTTTCTTTCCGCTTTTGTAGCTGTGGTAAGACTAATACAAATATATTTAAGGCTAATGGAAGAAATTCCAGGAGTTATACATTTGATACAAATAATAATTAAGGAGCATATGCTGAACTTCATATTATTACTTAATGGTTAGAATAATACAATATACTCCAGCAATAAGTTCCTGCCAAATTTCCCTTCTCATTTTTAGTATTTAAACAAACAAATCCAAAAACCCAAAGCACCACGACTATTCAGACAAATCCTGAATCATCTTCCCAAATGCAACATGTTATTGACTCAAATTTTTTATTACAATAGAGTTAGGAATAACTCCAAATGAAACATGATGAAACAACTCTCAGAGGAGGGAAATTCTTTGAATTCCCAGTGTGGAGCATGTCCTGAACTTCGTATATGCAATGGGAATGTGGCCAAGCAGCTTCCTGAGATGTTCATTAGTGCTAATGGGAGGGACAGAGCCAAGGTACATAATAAATGTGCAGCCCTCGAAGTGCTGGTATATGTGGGGAAACCAATTAGCATCGCAGGGATCAACACCTCTAGCATTTGTCCATTGGGGATCTCTTCTCTTATGGAGAGTGTCTTCTATCATTTTTAGCTGATCTTCACTCCACCTTTGAAAGCAGAATTCTTCTCTACAAGTGGGTAAAATGATTGGCTATTTTACTTTTATCACCCAGCTGGGAGAAAGAACCCAAAGATTCTTCAGTCCTTTCTTACTCTCTTCATATTCAAGAGGGGGAGTTTGAAGAAACCCTTCAGTATCATTTAATAATCGAGGGCAGAATCATTTGATCTTTGCTTCAGAAATTTGATGACAAAAATAATTCTTTTCCAAGTACTATGATTACAAGAGCCTGTATTTGGTGGAGACCACTGCTGGCAATGTGATGCTGGACCAGATGAAACGTATGATCTGACACAAAAGCACGGAT